TATATATATATATATATAATAAGTTTGTGCTTTTAAAAAGTTTATTTTATAAATATTAGCATGACTCATGTATGAAATCTATTTGTATAGACTTTTGCTACATAGAAGAGGTGGACAAGTCAAACTCTTACTGTGACACGAGTTACCCACAATATCCATGCGCAGCGGGTAAGTCGTACTATGGTCGCGGCCCACTTCAACTTACCAAGAGGTGGACAAGTCAAACTCTTACTGTGACACGAGTTACCCACAATATCCATGCGCAGCGGGTAAGTCGTACTATGGTCGCGGCCCACTTCAACTTACATGGAACTACAACTACGCCCTTGCTGGTCAAGATATTGGTTTTGACGGTCTCAATTCGCCCGAGACTGTCTCCAATGATGTTGTCGTTTCCTTCAAGGCGGCTCTCTGGTTTTGGATGACTAATGTCCACAGTGTTGTCAATCAGGGCTTTGGTGCTACAATACGTGCCATAAATAGCATTGAGTGTGACGGTGGCAACACTGGGGAGATGAACGATCGTGTTAACATCTACCAAAACTACTGCAACCAGTTCGGTGTCTCTCCGGGAGATAATCTCACTTGCTAATTATATATTTATTGTGTTGTAAGTTTTTTTATCATTAATAATAGAATAAGCAGGGGAACATGTATCATGATGTTCACCGATATGATAAATGAATAAACTGAGATATGTACTTGCTTGTTAATAAGGGAAAACAAATTTGCATTTAAGGAAATTATTTTATGTTAATTTATTATATTTCACTAAAACTTTTCTCCCAAAAAGGAATTTAGTGTTACTGAGACTGCCTTAAGACAAATCTTCTTAATCTTCTCCTACCTTTGTTTAGTTTAAGGGTGATAACATTATTCAAAACTCAAAACTATGTCTACTTGGCTCCAAAATTTTTCCTAGTATATTTCAAGTTTATAAAATAAGCCATGAAGCCTAATTAAAGCCTAGTGAAGAAGCATTATACTATAAAGATAATACATCAATAGAAATTTAATTTCACCTGTTAGCATAGCAAGAAAGTGAATAAATATAATGTCAGAGATAAATCAACTATCGTTTAAGGACTTAATCAATCATGCGCTTATCGCTTCCGAGAACTTTGTAATTTCTATAAATTTAGAGAATATGAGTGCTTTTGATACTTCAACTCATATATAGAAATTTAGTAATACATTGCTCGTATATAAGGCTTTTGTTGCGCTTGTTTTTAGTCGCTATCATAGTTTAATCACTGCAATAAACACACATAGAACTCTCTAACCAGATAAAGACTAAACAATAAGGCTCTTATGACTATAGTAATAGTGCTTAAGCTAAAATTTATTGATAAAGGTTAAGGACAAAGGAGCCACAAGACATTCTGACATATTATAAAATATCATGATTGTTGTAGCCCCTCAACGAGAGGAAATGGGAACTCATGTTGGGAAGGGAAAAGAAAGTGCATAATGGCTAATATATCTTTGAATGATCAAGAAGATAATGGTTCACTAGCCAAAACTCTTCCAAATAATCCTTTAGAAAGTGATTCCAATTTATAAGATTTTTTGGGAGGGTTAGCTTGAGAAGTTGAAGCAATTATTCAAACTGATATGAAGTAACCACCTACTCAATAGAGTAGATAAGCAAAGGATAGAATTCCCCAATGAGAGTAAATGGGAACTAAAGTTGAGAAGGAATAACAAAATACATACTTTCCAAGACATCTTTGAATGATCTTGAAGGTAAATAATTTGCTAGCCAAAACTCTTCTAAAATAACCTTGAGAATAAGTTACCACTTTATATGGTTTACCATGAGAATAAGACTGAGAATTTGAAGCAATTAGAGGAAGCAATTCAAATCAACCACTTCCTCAATAGAGCAGATGAGTGGAGGTTGTGCTATCCATCCTCTCTCCCTTGAGAAAAACAATTAGTAGGAAATAAAAGAATGTGATGGAAGGTACCAAACACCACCACTAGTAATGATAAAAATTTTGAATAATTTGAGCAAAAGATGAGAAAGAGGGGAGAGAGAAAATGAGTGATCTAGTTGTACTTTAATTTGGGAATCCCTACTTAGCCTAGAATTAGATATTGATAATTTTTTTTAACTTAAATACCTACACACCTCTTGAAATTGAAACCATAGGTTATGAGAAAGCTAAGAATCATCCTGTAAAAGTTCGAAGTCAATTGGAATTAAAATGAATTATATAAAATTTACTAAAAATGATTGTAGTGTAATGTTTAGAAAATTAATTAAAAAAGGGGTCTAATTGCTCAATCTAATTATTCTTACTCTCCATGCTAGTACGATGTGCGAGACTTGGTTATAGATTTATAGAATTTAATTTAAATTATTAATGAATTATCCAAAATTAGGGCCATTTAGATTCTATTTGATTGATAAATTCTAATTTGGTTAAATCAAGCATCAAAATCATTTGAGGAATTTGAGAGAGGTCCAGAGGACCATCATAAACCTTTCATATAAATTTGGGAGCCATTGGGTTTGTTTAGACAATTTAATTATATCATTAAAAGTATTCCTTCATTAATTAAAATTTATATTTATGGAATGATTTATTTTTTGAAATTAAATGTAATAGTTCCCTTTATATTCACTAATTTCATATAAAATTGGTTAAGTATTCATAGAGATATGAATTTTCTAAGTTTTGTTGGATTATTTGATTTATTCAATTCATTTATCAAATTCATAGGTTGACGAGGTAGTGTTTTTCTACTTATCAAGTTCTAATTAGCTTAATTAAAGTGGTAGGATGATTGAGTAATTTATGTGGGTCAAATTTTTAAAAGAGAACCTAATCATCGTATTCTTCTTGAATCCAAATGCATAGGTACACCTCTCGTTGGTTTTAGAATCAAATTCATGCTTTAAAATTTATTCCCACTCCATAAATGTAAAGAGAGTAAGCATTCTATTAGGTTTTTAGATTTTAGTCATGATTTCATCGCATAATAATGAGTACTAATGTTTTAAACTTTGGTTTCGAACATACTTGAATAAGCAGGGATATCAAAAGCTATGATACTAGAGAGCTTCAGTGAAGTAAAACAAAGTGTATTGAGAGTTTCCTTGTCGATTGTTTTATCTACTAATAGCCATACAAATAAAGACAGAGTTAAGAGAGGGAGGGTAGGGAATGCTCAGACACTCATGATGGAGTTTAAGAGATTTAAATTCATGCATCAAAATTAGCCCAAACGCCATGTACTTATAAGCCAAGCTTAATGAATTAGGGTGGAAATCTGTCCATCATTGGTCATTAATAGCTAGGTAGGCACGTAGGAATTGCCTAATAGGATTAGGACACATATATATCCATGATCACTTTCAAGGTCTAGGATTCCACAACTTAACCCGACCAAGATAGGTCCTATCGTGTTGAGCTGTGACAAACAAATCATAATATCTAGTTTTAGAATCTTTCATATTCTCTTATGATATTCATATAAAAAAGCCATAGACTATAAAGCTTTTTAAATATTCAGATACTGAAAATAAGCTCATCTACATGATTTTTTTTCATTTAATCAAAATGTTTACACTGCAGTACATGACAACATGCATAAACTACTAAATTAAATAATACACTAGCCATGATTATATAAAAATTAAAATAGAAATATAACTATAAACACTGATTAGTCTTGAATTGCTATCCACAAGCTCCTCTTTTCCAGAGCTCGAAAATCACAAGAAAAATCACAGTGAGCTACAACAGCTCAATATATATGCCACATAAAATGATCTAAATTCTCAAAATTCTTATATTAAATATTTTCTAAATATTTAAAATTTGTCAAATTTAATATAATAAATTATTGTACTGAGATATATGATACGAGCATAATAATTATCCAATTATAAAAAAAAATAATAAAGCTAAGCAGATGAATAAATTGCAATTCATATCATAGAGCAGTTTATATCGTATTCCTCGGATCTAGACAAAATCACAAAGGATTTTGGCCCCTTATTTTTTAGTGATCGCATAGCATTCATTTTTATTATAATGCCAATCAATTTTTTTTATATCTAAGTATATTTTGTATAATTTGGGTTTAACATCTCTTTCATTATATCAAGTATTATTTGTTATGTTGTCGACGGGGGATTTAATATTTGCTAATAGGGTCTATGTATGAGCTTGATATTTCCAGTAGGAAGTTACCATCAACACTGATCTTGTTACCCCTCAAGGTGTTTGATGTAATAGTAGGTATGAATTAGTTGAATAGGTTTCAAGCTTATATTGATTATTGAATGAAGCAAGTAAGTTTACGTGTAGATAAGGAAGTATTTTGTTTTATGGGTATTAGGAATGCTAAATCATCTTTAATTTCTGCATTACAAGTGGATGAAGCCTATAGGAAAGGGGATTTCATATTTCTAGCCTATGTTAGATATATGAATAAATCAATTAAAGGTATAGAAGATGTTCCAGTAGTAAAGGGATTCCTTGATGTTTTTCCTAAAGAGTTATGGGGGTTACCTCTTGATCAAGAGGTAGAATTTTGTATTGATGTGGTGTCGAGTATAACTTTAAGAGTGAAGAATATGTATAGAATGAAACCTAGGGAATCGCATGAGTTGATGGTACAATTATAAGAGCTTTTGGTTAGAGAGTTGATCTGGCCTAATGGATCACTATGTGGAGCTCATATATTATTTTTTAAAAAGAAAGATGGATCTTTGAGGAATTACATTTGCTATTAAAAGCTAAATAAGTGACAGTGAAGATTAAATATCCACTATCCAGGATATAAGATTTATTTGATTAGTTAAAGGGAGCAACTATATTTTTTAAGATTGATCTGAGATCAGGTTATCATCAGTTGATGGAGAAGATAGAAGATGTAGTAAAGATGGCTTTAAGTATTAGATATGGGCAGTATGAGTTTCAGGTGATACCATTTAGCATAAAAAAAAATTCTACCTCAGTGTTTATGGATAAAAAATGCATAGAGTATTCATGGAGTACTTGGATCAATTCATTATTGTATTCAACGATAATATCTTGGTATATACAAAGTTTGAGGATGAGTATGGGGTTTATTTGAGATTAACTTTGGAGATTCTAAGGCAATATAAGTTACATGTTAAACTTTTGAAGTATGAGTTTTAGTTGACTTCTATATCTTTTTGGGGTCATGTAGCAAAGAATGAGGGGATTACTATGGATCCTCAAAAAGTGCAAGATGTGGATTAGTTAAGGCTGACGTCTGTGACTTAGGTTCATAATTTTATGGGCATGGAACGATATTATAGGAAATTTATCGGAGGTTTTTTTTCATATTGCTACCCCTCTTATGTGATTGAATTAGATTTAATTAGACACTAGTATGAAGAGAGCTTCCAGAAGTTGAAGGAGTGTTTCGAGTTAGCTCTTATGTTGACTATTATGTCGGGTACTAAAGGATTTCAGTTATATAATGATGCTTCTTTGAATGACCTAGGATGTGTATTAGAACATAATGAAAAAGGGGTAGCTTATGCATCCATGCAGTTGGAGCTGAATGAGAAGAATTACTTGAATCATAATTTAGAATTGGCGGTAATTATTTTTGCATTAAAAAACTAGCGGGATTATCTATATAGTGTTAGGTATGAGATTTATACCGATCACTAAAGTTTGAAGTATATTTGCAACAAAAAAAGATGAATTTGAGGCATAGAAAATGATTTGGAACTAATTAAGTATTATGATTTTGATATCATTTACCAACAAGGTAGAGAGAATGTGGGTGCTAATGCTTCCAGTAGCAAATTAGAATGATTAGCAACCATTTTGATCACTTATAAGCATACATTGATAAGAGATAGAAAGGCTGGAGTTAGAAGTGGTGTATTCATCTGATGTGCCCATTGGACGTGTTTCCTGGATGATAGTCCAGTCCTCATTGTAAGACAAAATTAAAGAGGTTCAAAAAGTAGAAAAAAATATGCAAGATTGCTAAATCTGAGTCAACATTGTGTGATTTTTTTATGGTAACAGGTTGTGGGTACTAGGTAATGGTGAGCTAGGGAGAGAGATTCTACATGAAGAGCATTATCTTAGATATATCATTCATCCAGGCGGTAATAAAATGTATCTTGATTTGAAGTACATATTTTGGTGGTCTGGATTAAAGAGAGAAGTGACAGAGTTTATTTCTAAATCCAAAAGATGTCACATGGTGATGGCTGAGGATTAGAGGCCTAGTGTATTATTGCAATCATTGCTTATTCCTCAATAGGAATTGGAGGAGATCACCATAGATTTACTATGGGCTTTCCCAGGTCTAGGAAAGGTAATGATGCAATATGAGTAATTATAGATATATTGATAAAATATACTCATTTTCTATTAATTAGGTAGACTGATTATGTTAAAAAGCTAGCTCAGTTATATGTGAAAGAGATAATCACACTGCACGAGATTCCTAAAGTTATTATTTTTTATTGTGATGGTAGATTCACATCGAAGTTATGGAAAGATATTGTGGAGGGTCTGGGAATATAGTTGATTTTGAATCTAGCTTTTCACCCCCAAACAGATAGGCAGTTTGAAAGGATCATTTAGGTTATGGAAGAGTTGTTGAGGCTTTATGTTCTTTATAGTGGAATCTAGAAGGATCATATACCTCTGATTGGATTTTCTTATAATAATAGCTTAGAAACAAGTATTAGTATGATTCCTTATAAAGCTCGATATAGAAGAAGGTGTCAGACATCATTATTTTGGGCTGAAGTAGGAGAAAGAAGACTAATTAGGTTTGAGCTAGTGGACAATGCTACTAAGAAGATCAGATTAATAAAAAAAAAGAAGAGAAACAACTCAGGATAGATACATAATATACTTTGATCTAAAGCACAAGTTTGTGGAATTTCAAGTGGGTGATTTTGTGTATATGAAAGTCAGCCCGATGTATGGAGTGAGCAAGTTTGGAAAAGATAACAAATTAAGACCTCGATATATTAGACTATTTCAAGTATATAATTGAGGTGATTGGAAGATCTGCTTACATATTATTTCTGCTAGACCATATGTTAGATTTTCATGATATGGTACAGAGTAACTAAGATTTGGAGATGACAAGATGATAAAGCAATGTTTGGAAATTTTCTTTGTAAACATCATGAAGCTAGGTTGGCGGTGCCTCGACTTTAAGATCTTAGGTTTTAGACAAAAAAATAGGTTTGAGCATGTGCCATAATGTCGAGGAAGTGTTGTCATAGCATCAGGTCTTAGGTGAGCATATTTTAAAAGCATCTAGAAGACTCTCTATAACGCTGTATAGTTGGAAAAGCGAGCGTCACGATGCCAAGTCAAAAATAGTGGACATTTAATATTGAAAAATAAAAAAACAATTAGCCATTTTTATTTCACCCAACAGCTTTCTAGAGATGATAGGAGGAGAAGAGGGAAGAGAAGAAGGGAGGATTTGGAGGCTAAATTCAAGGATTAATTTGTCGGTCTAGTTAAGGGTATCATCGAGCTTGAGGTTGACTCCTAAACTCCTATCTCTGGTTTCAATTTCAAAAAGTCTATCAAAAGCTATGAATAAAAAAATGTTTTCTTGACTTTTATGAGTTTTTTACCGTGTGAATATATATAGGGCTTTTTGCATTTGACTGCATGACTTATTTTATAAACTCAATAGAGTTTTGAATATTTTTAGCACTCTAAAATAAACTAACATAGAAGACAATTATGAAGAATAGCCTTAAGAAAATCTCAGGAATACTAAATTCCTTTTGGGGGAAAAGTTTTCATTGAAATATAATAAAATTATAGAATATTTTGAAAGAATCTCAAACAAAAATATAATAAAAGAAAATAATTTCCTTAAATGCAAATAAGTGCATATATCAATTTATTCATTTATCATACCATTGAACATCATGATACATGTTTCATTGCTTATTCCATTATTTCATGATAAAAAACCTTACAACATAATACATATACCATTAACAAGTGAGATGATCTCCCGGGGAGACACCGAACTGGCTGCAGTAGTTTTTGTAGATGTTAACACGATCATTCATCTCCCCAGTGTTGCCGCCGTTGCACTCAATGCTATTTATGGCACGTATTGTTGCACCAAAGCCCTGGTTGACAACACGATGAACATTATTCATCCAAAACCAGAGAGCCGTCTTGAAGGAAACGACAACATCATTGGAGACGGTCTCAGGCGATTTGAGTCCGTCAAAACCAATATCTTTACCAGCAAGGGCGTAGTTGTAGTTCCAAGTGATTTGAAGTGGACCACGACCATAGTACTTCTTACCCGATGCGCATGGATATTGCGGATATCTCGTGTCACAGTAAGAGTTTGATTTGTCCACCTCTTCTACGTAGCAAAAGTCTATACAAATAGATTTCAGATAAATCAACTAAAACTTTTGTCATTTTTAAATTAAAAGACAAAAAAATCAAATAAAAAGAAAATTTAAGCATGAATTTATTTGGCAAATATACCATTATTGATCATCACCAAGTTGACTATCTTAACAAGTAAAAAAAATGGGAAGAAAATTTTTATGAGAAGCTCCGATCCCCATGCAAAAAAATTTGAAGAATATTAGTGAAGCATGCAAATAAAATAAAAGTTTGTTCTTGATTAATTTATCGAGTTTGAGCTCGTGCCTAAGCTTAATTTTATGAGTTCAAATCTACCAACGCGCCAGCTTATCTACACTTAAAAAGTGAAAATCATTCTTATTCAAGCAATTATTATCATAATATAATAAAAAAATAAAAATTTAAATTAATAATAATAATAAATCACTTGAAATAGAATAAACACATATTAAATGTTTATATATTTTAATTCTATTTGATATTAACGTACGATTTTAAACGAGTCAGCTTACGAGTTGACAAGATGAGTCAGATTGGTTCAGGTCTGAAGTATTAGCTCATTGGCCTCGGCTCATAGGTCATTTATCGAGTCAAGTCTAGCCGGCTCACAAGTCAGCTTACTCATTTACATTCATATATGTCATATATTACCCCTCAATACAATAAAAATTATTAAGGAATATATTTAAATTATTAGATAATAATGCTTACGTCCAGTCTCATGAGTGGCGTGGGCAAAGAAAGCTGCGATCTCTCGCTTAGAGTCGTCGGCAGTAGCATCCCGACCAAAGCTAGAGTACTTCTTAACCGCATCCATGAACGCCTGTCTGGTGTAAAATCTTTTCCCTCTGCAACCAGCGCCTGCTTGGCTGATAATGCTGTTGAAGAACTTCTGTGTCACCACGCTTGCCACAGAGACTACGCCACTAGACGGTGGCCGATTATAACAAGGCCCCGACTGGCAGCCGTCGCCACAGTAGGAGGCACTGGTGCCGCAGTAGCCGTACTTGCTGCAGCAGAGGCCCTGCGCACACCCGCAGTTCTGCGCATGAGCGAGGGTGCTGGCAGCGAGGAGAAGGGCGGCGATGAGGAGTTGCATCTTCATGATCCCCGCCATGAATGAATCAAAACCGAGCTACTAATTGATTATAGCAGAACGAGAGATGAGAGTGTGAGAAATGTGGTCGAGAAAGGTGGCTATTTATGGCTGTGAAACAAAATGAAGAGCGAATGTAGGATCGAGATTGAGTAGAAGACTGGGTTTAGCAGTTGAGATCGACTATTCAAAGCTGACCAGATTACTTTTCCATGGTGCTTGAGGGGGAACAAGTTTATCCAGAAGGACCTTTCATACGCCACATCAACAGAGAGGGGATGAGAAGCTAAAACAGAGGAAACCAGCGAAGTTTATCTGTAATATGTAGAACGGAGAAGATATATAATCGAGTTGACTTGGATTGAGTCCAACGGACGCAAAGTGGCACGAATATTTACACGCTTTCTAAGGGACAAATTCTACGAACCGCTCCGTTGATATGTCATATTAGCCTTTTTTTTTTGGGGAAATATGTCATTTAGCCTTTTTTTTTTTTTGGGAAATATGTCATATTAGCCTTAACAGCACGTTAAAATAATTATATGTATGATAGGGCGGTGTCAATATTTGACACGACAGATAAAACCTGACCGACCCGACCCGGAAAACCGGTTGGAACCTGACCGATTTCAAAAGGGTCGGTTCGGGTTCCTGATTCGACCCATTGAAAAATGGGTCGTGGTTCGGGTTGACTCCGGCGAGGTTGCCTGGTCAACCTGATAAACCGGTTTAAAATTAAATTTGGCCACAGCCTGCCCGCTGCACCCGCGAAGCTTCCCTGACTGCCCGATGTGCCCCGCTACCGAATCTGCCCCAGACTGCCGGAACTGACCCCGTGAATCTGCCCTAAAGCTGCCCCTACGTTCGCGCGCGCCACCAGCGCTCGATCGCTCCCCAACGCGCACCTGGTTGCTTCGCCCGCCTGCGCCCATGCCTCACCGGCGCTGCACCCGCACTCAGACGCTTCGCCTGATTCCCGCGTATTTGCGGTTCCGTGTGCTCTGGTCGGGATCAACTCGGCAAACCGCCGGTCGGTCCGGAATTCAGCACCGTTTATTCGTATCAGGTCGGCGATAGGAATCGACCTGGTTTGCAACGCGTCAAGTCTGGGTTCGACCAGACACACCCCCGACCACGAATGCACCAATAATGTAACTCCGCTCTATGAATTTAGCGTTATTTTTGGTTGAACTTCGGTTCTGAACATGACTTTCTCTCCTGTTCTGGAAAGTACACTTTTTAAAGTATGAAATGTTTATAATTCTTTTATGACTAAAAATTACTTTAAGGAAGCAATAAAAATGTCGAGTCTCAAATGAAACCTTAATTGTTGGTTTAATTTTTTTTGGAAAGTAACCTAACGCATACAAATGTGAACGAGCTTTATCTGCAATGAACATTATATAAGATTCATTTACGCAATCTATAGAGACCTCCTCGATGGAGATGTATGTTTATTATATTGAATAAAGATATATTTAAGTAGTACTCAACTATGAGATTGATTGTAAAACGATTTCAAAATAAAGTATCATAGGGAAATTGATTGATGAATAAGTGATCTTCTTTGCTAAGTCTTTTCCAGAGTAGTTGCTTGAAAGTATTTCCAAACCATGGACTGCTTAAGTCTGCCTGCTAATCATCGAATTTGTTTTGGACCTCCGCAGCAGAGGAACATCGGTTGCCGATTCACATCATTTTCTGAGTGTTTTTTTTTTTTTTTCATTGTTTTTTTTTAATTTGGGAGTTTGTTGCAATTTTTGTATACTTAAAGATGCCAAATTATGTGGAGGGTTTTATACTTTTATTAGCGTGTATCTTTATTTTTTCTGCGATTTTAATTAACTGCCTCTTATAAGATTCTTTATTAAGTATTAAGTTAAATATTTGGAATGTAATGTCAAACGTTTTTATTATTGGTTGAGGAAATATATATATTTTGGATTGTATAGAGTTTTAGTAATTTCTCAAGAATTAAGAGAAAGATGTCTCTTGCATTTTCAAAATAATGCAGTTATTTTTTCGTTAATTTTTTGGAATTTATTGCCTGTTGATTCACTAATCTAAAGAAAAGAAATAATCTTAAAAAGTAATTTATTTTAAATATCTTTTGTGATGTTTAACTTTTTTACTAATTAAGTTTACACATATTATATTATTATCTCCTAATAAGTAATGAAATTATATCTATATACTATATATAAGAGGGCGCTGAGTTTCAAGCCAACAAAGTTAGCCATCAATTATATTTCTTCTTAAATTATACTTGATATCCATATAATTATAAATTAATTTAATAAATAAAAAATAATATTTATATAATTTAATGCTCTTTATAAAATCCTCATTCTAAATTAATTTTAAATCTCTTAACGTTTTAATTTCCTGTCAGTTTTATTTTTTTATGTATGTTTCGAGCTTCCCTATTGGTTATTAACCCAATCACATGAAAGATGAGACGTAAGCTCCTCCTCTTCCCCTATTCTTCTTCTCATTTTGCTTGGCTCTTCTAATTCTTCCTTTCTTCCATAAATGAATAATGAAGTAATACACATCAACACCTCTTTGGATCCCACTCACAGCCTAAAGTCTTCCTCTTCACATTGCTTGATTTCAAGCTTCTTCTGATTTCGCTCCACTACCGTCCATTTCAAAGAAACGCTAAAAGGAGCTTCTTCGCATTCTTCTCCTGTTGAATCGAAAGTCATGGGAGCCTTGACTTTTTAAGTTTCTTTTGTCACGGGAGCGATGTTAGTCATGATCGTGCATATCATTAACATCTCTTAAGGGAAAATTCTAAAAATTGGTGGTTAGACCTACAATGCTTTATGGTGTAGAATGTTGGTCATTAAGAGAGAAGCATAATATTAAATTAAGTATTGTATAGATGAGGATGCTTAGGTGGATGAGTGGCTAGATCGAGATATTATTAGCAGAACTCATGTTGGATGGTTGAAATGGAGGAATTCATCAGACATATTGTGTGAAAGATAAGATGTAATGCCAGTTCTTACTTAAATATTTTATCATAGGAAATTTTTTTACTCCATTGTTCTCTTACACTCAACTGAACCTGAAGCTTATAAAAGAAAATGGCGATGTTGTTGGTATATATCTTGTGGCTATAAATTGGCAGTGAATCATTTGAAAAAGACTTTTGGATTGAAATACGTGTATATCATTTTATTGGTTAAGGAAACTAACCATTGTCAACCTTTCCATGAATCTCATGGCAATATTTCGGCTTCATGCATGGCTTATCATAACAAATTCATATAGACTCATGTTTAGTTAAGCAAGTAAAATTTTAGTTACACTATATCAAATGAGTTCATAATTAAGGGTGTTTTGGTAGAACTTTGTTCTTCATGATTATAGCATGACGACTTTTAGTTAATCTACAAATAAATGTGGTAGCTCTTTTGTTTCCTCTTATAAATTTTGATGAAGTCTTGGCTACTAGTTTTGGAACATGATGTTGGACATGTGCATATTTAACATATGGATGAAAGCTTTGGGTATTTGGTGAGGATTATCATGCATATTTATATTTCGTTTCATAAGATTTTTTGGTTGTTCGATATGTCTCAATGAGATTGAAAACTGTCATATGTTTTATGATTCATTCATAAATTCAATTTGATTCAATACAAAGTCATGTATTTTCTTGTTGAAACAATTCTCCTTGGTGGCATGTAGCATGAAAGGTGAAAATTCGTTGGAAGAATTTTAAAATTCACTTTGTGTGAGAGAAGCTTTAAAAGTTGATTTATGTTGGAAAATATTTTG